GCTCAAGAAACGTGAACGGTTGACTGAAAGACGTGTAGCAATGTAAACCAAAAAAAATTACTTGAGCAAATGAAATACTTTTGCCATTATGGTTGAATCTGATTGTTGATTAGAAAGGGCGAAATTTGCATCTTGTTTCCAACTGAAAAAATTAATGGTGTCCCCAAAAATGAACATTATTTGGACAGTAGTTTAATGGCAACCATGTGGAACCTTGATCAAGAAATATTGTGTTTTTTTTTTTAACATTTCATATCCTGTGCCTGGGACATGGTATGACATATTTTAAATGATGTCAAATTTCCGGGACACCCCGAAACATAAAGCTCAATTGACCATGAAGTTGAATCCAGGGTATTCCCACTGACCTCAGATAATTATCATTCAAAATCCGTGACATTAAGGAATAATCCCACAACGTTTGAAGATTGGTTTAGAAATGTGAGCAGAATACAGCGATAACAAAATAGGCTTTTTTTTTTGTTTGTTCTCGAAGCAACAATAATGACTGATGGCGTTGGTCAAGATCCTACTGCGACACGTTAAAATCTGCACGTGCCTCCGTCTGTAACTACTCGCCCGCGGTGTTTATCCTCCCAGATACGATGACAGGTCAGTTAATATTGACATTATCTCTCTTCGCCACAATGTCAGCTCAAGCTGCAGGAAGCCACTCATTAACAGCACCTGGCCTTGTGTGCGCGTGCGCATGTGTGTGTGTGTCTGTGTGTCTGTGTGTGTGTTGATGACTGTGATGAAAGTCATTAAGCCAGGTCTAACGTGTTAAAGAGATGAGGGACGGTTCAGATGTTTATCTCAGTGAAAAGAACAGATTGTTTGCTATCGCTCAGGCCTACCGTGGCGCCCTTGATGGGGGTCGTATGTCGAAGAGAAAAGGAGAGCTTTTTGTATGCGCGTGTGTGTGTGTGTGTGTGTGTGTGTGTGTGTGTGTGTGGGAGTAAGAGTGTGAAAAGGAGTTTGGTCAAATGGAAGTCAAATGGATCCATCTTGTGCTGTCGTTCTGAAATGGAATAAAACGGAAAAAAAAACAAGTTGGGTGAACTCAAAATTTCAAGGACACAAGGAGTAATAAATTGGACACTTCAACTACATTTTTAAGTTATGCTTTTGTGAAAATTGGCTTTCTTGCATTTCACAACAAAGATGAGTTTATCGAACTGTTGCCCGTTGTATCGAACCCGAACTTGAAGATTTAACCCTTTCGGGTCCGGCGGCTATTACGATGGACAGTTTATCATGTTATCAGGTTACAGGGTGCGTGAAAGGATTAAAAACAACTCAGCTAATTGTTTTGGAGCAAATAACTTGCTTGGTTGTGCTAACTAACATTGTAGCCAGAAATGTCGACATGTTGTATTTTAATGTTTCTGAAATTAATGTTTCACGCCCCAAAAAGTTTTTTTTTCTTCCATTAGAGGTGAAATCACCAAAGTGCGCAAGGAAATATGTGTGCGGAAATTTTTTGGTGGATTTTTTTTTTTTGATGACCCACTGAGAGATTGAGAGTCGAAAATGCAGCGGTAATTGCAGTGGGTACACAGGTAATTGGAACCTAAATTGGCTTTCGAATTAGACCCTGCCGGCACTTGGTGTGCTGTGAGCCCCGGGTGCTTTGCCTGATGTCCCGTTTGCGACAGCAGGCGGCAGACGGTGTTTTCTGGCCGGATGCACACCTGCTACCCATTTGTAATTAGGCACTGGCTTTATTAGGACCGGCTTGGCGCCGCGGGCTCTCTCTGTGTGTGTGTGTGTGTGTGTGTGTGTGTGTGTGTGTGTGTGTGTGTGCGTGTGCGTGTGCGTGTGTGTGTGTATACGCGCGTATAAAAAATAGAAAATGTTAAGAAATGACAATGACTTTGTAGAAAAGGAACTTTTTTTTTGCCACGTATTTTGCGGACTGGTTCAGACAACTGCTTTGCACTTCTGAGGTTCAGCGTTCCAATTTGGGCTGTGGGCTTCCTGTGTGATGTTGTTTTTTCAAACTTTGAACGTAAAATATTTATCACAATATCCCATCCGGTGTGTCATAAGTTTATATCAGATAAAATTTTGCCCGATTATACAATAGGGGGAAGTAGGAATTTTCAAGTGAATGAGAGTATCTATCGAGCGTTGGATCTGGCTATCGCTCTGTCTGACAGTCTCTCTGTCTCAAAAGATAAACGTATGAGTTTTGGTTGATGGAGATGATTGCATTGCCATTGCAAGGCGTCTGGTGGGGACGATGACGGCAGCGATTCACGTGCATCGTTGATTTTACGATGATTCGAGATATGCACATTCACTGCCAGCCATATTAGAGCAGATTGATTTTTCTAGATCATTTCGGACGTTGCGTTCACTGAGCACATATTCAACAGGGGAAAATAAAAAAAGGTTGATTCAAATTTTACGCGCTCATTTATAAATCAAGGTTAGGTTGAACAAAATGCATCCGTTTCTCCCGGTGAACTCACACATTGGGCTGATCTCGTGTCTAAAATGATGCATTGCTGACATTCTACCAGTGGTTGTGCATCAGTAAAGTCGTTTCCAGGCTGGAAATGTACAGCGGAGCAGCATCTGACCTTCTCCCGCCCATCCTCGTTGAAAAACGTATTTGACAACTATGCTCGTCAAAGGCAGTTAATATTTCTTTTTTTTTTTTTTTGTCCACATACCAAACCCCTTATTTACACTTAACTTGACAATAAAGTGCCAATATCACCATCATCAACATGAATTCAAAGAACCATGTGTTTTACAGATTTGCAGTCAAGTGTTTAAATGTTTTTTGAGGTCTAGAAAGATTGTCTTCTTAATTATTTATTTAAATTTAAAAGCAGGCTCCTGATTGTGAAATGAAGAAACTAAATGGTCTTCTTACACCAAGTAAGCGTCAGTGGCAACGGCAAAATAAGATGTTTGGCACTGGCAGCAAAGATTTTTATTTCGTGTGTTTTTTTTTTTTTTTTTTAATGGGCACAGCCCACATACTCACTTCTGCTGCTCATCTCGCAAATGCACGTTCCTCACAAATGTGGCGTCTTTTAAAAGGAATGCAATCAGATTTATTGCCAAGAAGCATTGTAACAACAAAGAAATTCTCTACCAAACACAAATTTCCTTGTCGAATGTCATAATTGATTGAAAGGTGAGGCACATTATTCAGCTAGCTATGTCCAAATGTTATTTAAGACTTTGCCTGTACATCTCATATGATGACGAGTTGTAGGATTCTGGAACACATTATGGAATTCAAATGGTTCCGATGACTGACGCTTGATGAAACCGTTAAAGGGGATACATCAGGGAAAATTGACCTTTTACTGGATTGAATATAGGTGGGCACCTGGAGGTACTGCTCACCCATCAAGTGTGAAATTAAACCACCAAGCCGACATGTAGTTTTTTGCCTATTTCTGAAAATGTGTCCGTGAGCAAGCTTTTCTGGACTTTGACGACTGTTACCTTGCAGTGGAGGTAATTCACATACTGTTGTCGTCGCCATTGATATAATAAGCTAGGTAGGGTGAAGATCCAGAGCCACTTTCAAGTCATGAAGAGGCATCCACGGGTGTGATGCTGCTGCGGTTACATCAAAACCAAAGGTAAGCAGAGCTGCGCTGAATTCTGTTGATTGTTTTGCATCGGATCCACGATTTATTGCTGGCTGTTGTTGGCAGGCCGCCGCTTGGAAGCGGGACCGGAACTTCCCACAGCTGAGCTGATCGCATCGTGGGCATAGAATTTTGATGTTGGCACGGTTATTGTGTAAATTGCTCCCACTGTTACATAACAGTGGGAGAAAATGCAGAACGGTTCGCTGTCAAATCCGTTTTCAAAAACAGAAGGTAAAAGATTATTCATATCATAGATTTAAAAGTACAGTTTCCACAATCTGTCCCATTCAAGATTTCACAGTATTTTTCTTTTTTTTTTTGGGGGGGGGGGGGGGGGGGGGGGAGGCGACACTTTTAAACGCAACAATGAAGAAACTGCTGATGTTTGGGACCAAAGAATGAAAAGTTGATCAGCAAACTAGCACCATCGCTACTTTATTGCAGCAAACAGTGCTGTGAGAATCTGCTGTGAAATGAGTCTTGGTGTAAAAAGCAAGAGATGAGGTGAAGGTGCTTAAAGGGAAAATGTCGGCCACAGCTTGACAAGTGGGGAGACTCTTTGGCCAATCAGAGGATGGGAAGTCTATCTGGATTTATTGGGGAAATAAAGGATAAGGTCACTGTTGTAAGATTTAATATTAATGTGCTATTTAATGACCCTTGCAGTGTTGGAAAGTCGCCTTTTGCAAATAATAAGATATAGCTGCAGGCTCTTATTTGGTGTGGTGCCGCCGTTGCCGCCGCTGGTGCTCCTACTGGACCACCAGCCGTGTCTGTTTTTGGTGGATTACATGAACATTTTTTAAAAAACAGGACGAGTAGAGTGAGACAGTTGTCATGCTGCTCTTAGTGGAGCATCCTCTCGACAAAGATGAGCATAATGCGCAATCACGAAGCTAATTACATTAAGGTCCCGCAGCCCCTCAAAAAGCACATTTAAATCATGTATTTGGAGAGTGTGTCAACGCACTGCTCACAATGAAAGTTGATGTCCCACACATTCTGACGGTAATCCTTTCACTCCACCGTGATACATTGTGACCCTACTTTGAATTTCTTCGAAACATTTACACTAGTTTAAAGCCCTACTTTGAAACCCTACCCACGTCTAAAAACCTTACTTTGAAACACGTAGCCAAGTTTAAAACCCTACTTTGGAGCACTAACGCAAATTTAAAGTGATTTCTGATCCATCCCTTGCATCAAATCACATTTTGATTGTGCAAGTGTACGTAACAGTGACCGGTTAGTGAGATTTTTTTTCTTCCCTCTTTTGATTTCTTCCCGCCCCCTCATTTGGCCTGTCCAATAGGAACACCGCAATGTACGGCTCGGACCAACCAGCAACGAGAGATGCTATTGAATGGAAGTTTTGGACTTCGGGATAGATCGAGTGAAACGATACAGAACAGTCAGTGAGACGGACTGGACGTGAAATGTGTAAATGTGTGAAGAAAGTGCACCGAGCAAGTCAAATTTCCCCTATATGGTCTTCTCTTAACACGGATTCGGTGTTTGTAAAAAGGGGAAAATAAGAAGCTCTCTCTCTCTCTCTCCCCCACCCCCAAGTGTGCGTCGAGGAGCTTGGCAGGTGTTCGCTCGCGAGGGAGCTGCTGGCTTCACTCAGTCTGCGCCCTGAGCTTCAACAGGGTGCCGGCGGGGCAAACTTTGACGATCACAACACCGACTGGAGTTGACGGAACCCCGGAATTTCACGACTGGCATACGGTCAACGGACGACCGTGAAGGACTGGCTCGTCCCGGGTAAGACGGCGGCGGTGGTGGCGAAAAGGGCACCCGTGACGCAGCGGAAAGAGCGTGGATACCCGACGGACGAATCCGCTTTAAAACAACTTTTTTTTCCGAACAAACTCTTCACTTGGTCACAAAAGCCTCAAACCTACCGACTTTGAACTAAAAAGAACAGCGCAAGGTATTTCATCGTTCTCGAACCTGTTGTGCCATCGGGGCTGCCCGCCGCTTTTATCCGAGGAAGGCGACCCCTTTGCGGGGAGAGTAAACCGTCTCGCTACCACGAGCTACTCTCTCACTTGGAATGTAGTACTAGTTGGGGAGTACTAACCACCCGGTTTAGAGCGCGTGCTGCACGTATCTCGACACTTGGACTGTTTGAACTCATCGAATCAATTACGGAATTGATCCCTGGAGAGAGGCTTAATTTGGGCGGAATTTCCGTCCTTTTTTTAATCACCGCTGGTTTTCACAGGAGATCCTGGACAAAGTGGGATTGGAAGTCAATAGCGGAGAGCAAGCCGATAAGACAAAAAAAAAACAACAACACTATACAGTCAAATGTGTTAATTTAGATCGCAGATCAGTGGAAGTGAGGTGCACCGGCCGGCTTGGCGATGGAACACGCGGACTCCGCCGCTGCACGTCCACATCGCCGGGTGCTCTAACCGTGAAGTCTCGCTGACCAGGAGGCTCCGCTCCTCGCCCCTCCACAGCTGACTTTTGAACACCGAGGTCGACTCAAGCCACCAGCCGTGAGCCGTATCAGAACTTTCGGATCTGGGAATTGGGACTTACTTTTACCGGGAGTGGACACTGTTTCCCCGAGGCTCCCATGTTGGGATTTTGCCGGATCGGAGGCTCCCCGGAAGTCGCGGAAGGATTCTCCCCAGGGAGTGTCGGGATGATACTGAGAAGCCGTCCGGCGTCTGTCTTGCTCCTGCTGCTGCTTCTTGGCTGGAGCTGCCACATGTTGCACGGACAAGGTAAAAGAAAAGAAAAGCTATGCACCTCTGTGATGTTCATTTTAAGCGTCGATAATACTGCAAATAAAGTGCTTGATCTGTGCATTTAAAACGTTGCTCTAAAATCTGTCACCTTGCAAGTAGGATGGAGTAAACTTGAACTATTGTGTTGTTAAAAACGGGATAAAGATACAGTTGCCATTTGCATTATTCCCCATGTTTCAGTCTGCAACATTAACTAAAACCTTGTTTGTTTCTGTTATGTAGAGTGATGTCTGCAGGATTAAGATATTGTACGTCTGCTTCGGGGAGAGTTCCAAGCATTGATAATCCCCCCCTTTTTTTTTCATCAATGACCTGTTTAACCGAGGTCACTAATTTGACACGAGCAATGCAAATCCAGTTCACACATACAAACCCAGGGCTTACTCATTCAGTTAACTTCACCCTGTTGCGCAACTATACAGGTAATTGTTAAACACAGCAAAGTGCAATTCATCAGAGGTTTATAAAACAATGATTCCTCATTGAAGTGCGTTGCGCTAATGGTGCCATTTCATTGGGTTACATGTGTCCATGCCGTTCAGAGAGTAGGGTAAATCTGTGCGTGGTGGGGAGTTGGGGCGGGTGGATGAGTGGGTCAGACTGGGTAAAACAAAGAAGCAAAAGAAAAAGGTCAAGCCGGTGTCAGCACACAAATGTTCTCTGGGTCACACAGATGGTGCGTGGTGGGCGAAGGCTGAGACGTGGGCTCGTGAGGAGGAGGGAGTTGGAGGAATGTGTGTGAGGTGTTGGGGTGGGGTGGCGGTGATGATGATGGGGGTTTGAGCTATTTGTGAATGTTCGGAGAACTAGAAGGTGTCATTGTGAAAGAAACAACACAAAGCAGTCGGGGAAGGTAGGGGGCCGGTAACGGTTGTGGGGGGATGCTTGTATCGGCAAAATGGGGAATACGGCTCTGTGGTGCGCCTGCAGTTTAATCGATGGTGGCGGTGTGACAACACGTCTGTGTGTACTTTCTCTTTTCTTCCAGTCGACACACTGGCTGTCTTCACCGCTTCATCCCGGGTGTTGAGGGAGGAGGTGTAAGGCGGAGGTGCGGCGTGGCTGCAGAGTCAGCTCTCCGCTCCTCACTCCCTCCTCCTCTTTGCGATGTCACAGTCTCAGCAGCAACGTCAGCAACGGCACCCAAGTTTACCCACAAACCTTAATTGATGTGTTGCCATGGTCTGAAAGCAAGTGCAGTTTCCGCCAAGGGGTTAGCGGATAAACCCTGACTGAATCCGCTTTATGCCCAAGTCTTACTTTTCTATCCATTCCGCACTGTAGCATGGAAGAAGGCGGGCAACTCTTGTCAACTAATCAACCGCTCGTGTGTGCCGCTGTAATTGGCGGACTCCCCAAAGAGGGGTAATAAAAGAGAGTAAGGCTACGGCTGGATAATTTGAGTCCCTTTACACTGTGAATGCGGTAAAATGTGGACTGAGCTGACCAGACCTGTTATCGCTTGGTGGAAGCGAGGCTGAAAGGGGGATTTTTCAAACGTGAGACCTCACATGACAAGGAAAAAAAAAATCACATATAATCCGATCACCGCTGACAATTGCAAGTGTCCCACTCTGAAGCAGAAGTCTAGCAGATTACCAAGACTGACCTGTGAGAGGTAGCAGGTTGCAACAGAGCAAGCGAAGAAAGGAGGTAGTGGAAGACGTTGAGGAATCTCAGCTAACTGTTTGCTTATCTGGTTTATTATTGTGGTTAACGTGTGCGTGAAACAAACGCTGAACACAAGTGGAGGGAAAATGCTCGAATGGAGTAATACAGACTGGACGCTGGGTGATATGACTGTCACTTCTGCCATTTGAAACCGATATCCGGTGCCGGTCGGCAGTCTTTTATAATTTCTGGCGGGCTTAAGCAAATGTTTCCAGAAGCCATCGTGCTTGAACCAGCAATGAAATTGTACAGAAAGAGCACCATAGACAACAGATGTTAGCATTAGCGCTACTTGGCTCTTATTATCAATACTGTACATTGCTGCGCCTCACTAAAAACACGAGATGAAGAGTTGCACGTGCTCGAGACATGAAACATTGGTACTGAACTGTTTTTCAAAAGCCTTTTCACTCCTAAAGTGTGTGTGCAGCACGAGTGAATGATGATGATGATTTCGATAAACACACACGCATGCAAATGACCATTTATTGAGTCCCCCAAAAAACTAGTGTCCATTTTTTTCTCATTGAACAATAAGTCAAGAAAGTAATTATTGTGACAGTTCTCGGTGGGGTGTCTCCTCCTCCCTGATCCATTTTTTTAAACACATTATACCGCCCCCTGGTGGCCACCTCACAAGAAGGAGCAGCACAATGTCTATTGAACTGAAGCAAAAAGAAAACGTCTATCTTTCTTATTATGAACATGTTGGATACAATTTTGTGCCGTAGTTGAGTTGATCGACAGTGTCACTTGGTCAATCCAAAGCTTTCGATTTTGCAGGTGTTCCGAGCCCGCTATCCCCAGCATTTATGAGGACATATTATTTTCTGTGGAGATGGATGAAATTCACGAGCAAAGGTTGATCCTACTGATCTTGCCATCTCTCTCTCTCTGTTACCCCATAGACCCCCCCACCCCCCCACCCCCAGTCAATCGATCTCCCACACCCTCATAAATGCAAGGCTTTATACGAGCGAAGCCTCGTCTCTGGGAGCACATTTAAATAAGCTCATCGATCTTTCATTTTAGAGTTTAAGTGACGGCAGCATTTTACTGTCTCTCCTCCCCAGCCCCCGCCACCCTGTCTCTCATCCGTTCACCTCTTCGCTTTCCCTCCTTTTATTCATAACTTATTCTCCCCCGCCCCAATGTGTCATTGAGTAGGTTCGGCCCCACAGCTGTTGGAATGATTTACTTTTCCGGCACGGCATGGATACTTGACAGAGCCTCACTCACTACTTTACATTCAGATGGGAAGTTGATAATAATTAAGTTTAATCGACAATGTTCATCATTTTCTATGTTGCAAGAAGGATAAATCTCCCGCACCCCCCCCCCCCAAAAAAAAAGTTGTGCGGTGAAACGGGAGGCTTGGATATTGCCAATAGCGGCCACTGTAAATTGACAAGACCCTTGTTTTAAATTGGCAGCATTCTTTTTTATTTTATTTTTATTTATTTATTTATTTTCAAACGAGTCCTGACAAGGTTGCATGTAAAATTAGTCAGATGCCTAAAGTCAGATGAGGTTAACCTAACAACAGTGACGCCAGTCATTTGCTTTCCAACAGATGTCCTGGTTACTGTGCACTAATGATAATGGTTTATAAATAGACCAAGTTTAATGGAAAAATACGGCTGGTCGTTGTTAATATTCCTAACCTTGGCCAAGGTAACAGCAGCGTGTGCCCCTGTGCTTGCCATTCTGGAATGAGTATTATTCAGCCATTAGTTGTGTTTGGAAAAAAAAATCTTGAAGTGGTGTCACAAAAGACATATTTCAAATTCAAACTACAATTTATGTATTTTCCCCCTTAAAGTAATCCACCCTGGCATTGAATACAGTTTCCCAGTCTTCTTGGGGTAAAGACGTCAACCGCGACACAGGTAGCAGTCCTAATCAAGGTCATTACAGACACCTATATCGCACCAGCTGTTGTTTTTCATGAAAGAGAGAGCGAGAAAAAGAAGAGGTATGGCGCTTATTTATTCTGGCATTTAATTGCGGTAGGACTTGAGGAGAATATGACAACACATAATTATGTCATGTCAAACAACATTAACCTCAATACATAAGCAATTTGGTCGACCGTGTCGGCTTTCGAATTTGCTGTTGGGTTATCTGAAAAGGGATCAGAGATATGGCTCAGGGCCAAAAATATTGAAAAGCATCAAGGTCTTCGGAACATTTACTGATTGTGAGCCAACGCTTGCAAAAAAGGCCAAGGTCATTGTTTCGATTGACTGGGTATGATAAGGTGCCTGATGTGAGGAACACATCACTGGTGGACCTTCACCATTATTGGACCTTACCGGGCGAAGCTTAAGTGACGCACTGTCAAAGACAGGAACGTTTGCATGGCAAGCCTGAAACATAGCGAGTCCTTAATCAGACAGACTAGCGTGCTGCATTACCGTATTTTCCGCACTATAAGGCGCACCTAAATGCATTCAATTTTATCAAAAGCCGATAGTGCGCCTTATAATCCGATGCGCTGTGTATATGGATCAATATTCTGAAAACTTGGACGGAGTATTTTAAATGTTCTGCAAAGTGCTTTGTTATAGCTGCAGCGGTTGTGAAAGCGCCATAGAAATAAAGCTGTATTGTATTCCCTTTAGCATGGCTCCATCTAGTGAATGCATAACGCAACCCCAGCAACTATCGTAGCTTCTATTCTATGTACCTTATAATGCGGTCCTACATATGAAAACAGTTTTAAAATAGGCCATTCATTGAAGGTGCGCCTTATAATCCGAAGCGCCTGAAAGTGCGGAAAATACGGTGCTTGAACATGTCTGCACACATCACGCAAATGCACACACATCGTCACACTCATAAGCCTCAAACTGTGCAAAGATGCAAATTTACTTTCGTGTGTTGTCGTGAGGACAATGCAAATTAGAGCGATCATCTAACTAACTAGACCGCACACCCCCCGTTACTTTTCTACCTCCTCCACACTCTTGTTTTTGGTTGATTTTGAATTGTTTTGTAATTCTATCGACCTTTATCTTTCTTATATTCCCTATTGAAAGCGATGCACACAGGACCATGTTCTCAATTACTTGAGGATTGAACCGAAGGCTCTGTGGTAATCTCCACCGCGGATAGCCAGCTAGTATATAAATCCTTTCCCTGTGCACCCACACTATACTATGTTTTACTTCCTTTCAAGTAGTTTGAATATCTGAGACCTCGGGGGTCACACAGCAGGCAGCGGCGTGTATGATTCTGTGATCGATGTCTGGGTTAAACAGGTTTAAGAGAGAGTAAGGTCCCCGGTGGACTCCCCTATTTCT